AAAAACAGCATGGTACTGGCACAAAAACAGACATGAAGCCCAGTGGAACAGAATAGAGGACACAGATATGAAGCCACACAACTATAACCAACTTGTCTTTGACAAAGGCGCTAAAAATATACGATGGAGAAAAAGCAGCCTTTTTTTTTTTATTTATTTTTTTTCATTTTTCTTTTATTATTCATATGTGCATACAAGGCTTGGTTCATTTCTCCCCCCTGCCCCCACCCCCTCCCTTACCACCCACTCCGCCCCCTCCCGCTTCCCCCCCTCAATACCCAGCAGAAACTATTTTGCCCTTATCTCTAATTTTGTTGTAGAGAGAGTATAAGCAATAATAGGAAGGAACAAGGGGTTTTGCTGGTTGAGATAAGGATAGCTATACAGGGCATTGACTCACATTGATTTCCTGTGCGTGGGTGTTACCTTCTAGGTTAATTCTTTTTGATCTAACCTTTTCTCTAGTACCTGTTCCCCTTTTCCTATTGGCCTCAGTTGCTTTAAGGTATCTGCTTTAGTTTCTCTGCGTTAAGGGCAACAAATGCTAGCTAGTTTTTTAGGTGTCTTATCTATCCTCACCCCTCCCTTGTGTGCTCTTGCTTTTATCATGTGCTCATAGTCCAATCCCCTTGTTGTGTTTGCCCTTGATCTAATGTCCACATATGAGGGAGAACATACAATTTTTGGTTTTTTGGGCCAGGCTAACCTCACTCAGAATGATGTTATTCCATCCATTTACCAGCGAATAATAACATTTCATTCTTCTTCATGGCTGCATAAAATTCCATTGTGTATAGATACCACATTTTCTTAATCCATTCGTCAGTGCTGGGGCATCTTGGCTGTTTCCATAACTTGGCTATTGTGAATAGTGCCGCAATAAACATGGATGTGCAGGTGCCTCTGGAGTAACAGTCTTTTGGGTATATCCCCAAGAGTGGTATTGCTGGATCAAATGGTAGATCGATGTCTAGCTTTTTAAGTAGCCTCCAAATTTTTTTCCAGAGTGGTTGTACTAGTCTACATTCCCACCAACAGTGTAAGAGGGTTCCTTTTTCCCCGCATCCTCGCCAACACCTGTTGTTGGTGGTGTTGCTGATGATGGCTATTCTAACAGGGGTGAGGTGGAATCTTAGTGTGGTTTTAATTTGCATTTCCTTTATTGCTAGAGATGGTGAGCATTTTTTCATGTGTTTTCTGGCCATTTGAATTTCTTCTTTTGAGAAAGTTCTGTTTAGTTCACATGCCCATTTCTTTATTGGTTCATTAGTTTTGGGAGAATTTAGTTTTTTAAGTTCCCTGTATATTCTGGTTATCAGTCCTTTGTCTGATGTATAATTGGCAAATATTTTCTCCCACTCTGTGGGTGTTCTCTTCAGTTTAGAGACCATTTCTTTTGATGAACAGAAGCTGAAAAAGCAGCCTTTAACAAAAACTGCTGGGAAAACTGGTTAGCAGTCTGCAAAAAACTGAAACTAGATCCATGTATATCACCATATACCAAGATTAACTCAAAATGGATCAAGGATCTTAATATCAGACCACAAACTCTAAAGTTGATACAGGAAAGAGTAGGAAATACTCTGGAGTTAGTAGGTATAAGTAAGAACTTTCTCAATGAAACCCCAGCAGCACAGCAACTAAGAGATAGCATAGATAAATGGGACTTCATAAAACTAAAAAGCAGGCAATGTATGACAAGGTCAGAGTCCCTGCAAGCAGCCCCTGTGAGGGTGATATGTCAGCTGTGAGGGTAAAGCCTCAGTGGAGATCCAGGATGTTGGAGATGCCAGGAATGCAAAGGAAAACCTTAGGCAACAAGTGGAGCCACCCCAAAAGAGAGGCATGGCCATAGGGGTGGGGCTGCCCAAGCCCACCCCCTGGATCACATCACACCTCCCTGACTCTGAATTCCAGTCATGAAACTACAGGATTTAATATTTTCCCTGCTGCGTTTAAGTCTTGCTTTGATCCCATTCCTCCTTTCCATGTCCTCATTCTGCCCTTTTAGAATAGGAACATTTGTGACATTGTATGTTGCAAGTATATAACCTTCATTGGATTTTATAGGGCTCACAGCTAAGAGATTGACTTGAGTCTCAATAAAGACTTTGAATTTAGACTTTTGAACAATGTTGAAACTATTAAGACTTTCTGAACTCTTGGAGATAGACTAAACGCATTTTTCACTATGAGATGGCCATGAGACTTTGGGGGTCAGAGGTAGAATGTTATGGTATAAGGAGATGTGGATTTAGGTGGCAAGAGGTGAACTTTTCATGGTTAATCTTGTCAACTTCATTGGATTGAGAAATACCCATGAGATCAGTAAAGTACATGGCTGGGGCTATCTGCGATGTTATTTCCAGAGAAGATTGGATAATGAGGGCTCTGACCCAATGAACAGATTAATCCCCTGATGAACTCATATGAAGGCATTATTGGGAGGTGGTGAAAAGCAGGAAGTGGGGCCTAGGTGGAGGAAGTAGGTCACTGGGGCCCATTCTTGGGGGCTTTACCTTGCCCTGGCCTCTTCTGTCTTTGCTCTCTCTGCTTCCAAGCTACCAGGATGTAAACAGCTTTCTCCATGATGACATCCCTGACACTTTGGTCTGAAATCTTGGAACCATGACCTAAAATAAATTCTTCATTCCTTGAAAATAATAATAATTAGAACAAGTGACAATTCTTTTGGGCATGATCTATCTTTTAAATGTGGTTGTCTTAACTATAACAGAATACCATATATTTAATGTTTAAATGACAGCAATGTATTTCTCACAGCTGTGGAAGCTGAGAGTCAAATAAAGGTATCATCAGAGCTGGTGTCTGGTGAGGGCATTCTTCCAGGTCTATAAATGGCTATGTTGTTGAATCCTCACAGGGGGTCACAATGGTTATATAAAGCAGACTTTAAAAAAGTTTTTCACAGCTGGGCGCCAGTGGCTCACACCTGTAATCTTAGCTACTCAGGAGGCAAAGAGCAGGAGGATCGTGGTTCGAAGCCAGCCCAGGAAAATAGCTCCCAAGACCCTGTCTTGAAAAAACCCTTCAGAAAAAAGGGCTGGAGGAGCAACTTAAGGTATAAACCCTGAGTTCAAACCCCAGTACTGCCAAAAAAAAAAAAAAAAAAAAAGTTCTCATTATCAGGCTGGGGGCACAGCTCAAGTGGTAGAGCACCTGCCTAGCAAGTACAAGGCCTTGAGTTCGAACCCCAGTACTACCAAAATATTTTTTTTACATTTATCAGCTCAATGCATTAAATGGTTATTTGTCAAGTATTTACAACTTGATGCCATCCATTATAATTATTAAAAATGTTTTTCTTCAGTGATAATGAATAATGTCTTAGGTCAGTTTCCCCCATAAAACAGACTGAGGCAGATTTGCATGAAGGGAATTTACTGCAAAGCACTCTTAGAACGATATTTCTAGAGTGAAGGAAGCAGAAGCAGACTGAAGGAGCAGCTCAACTGGAATGAAGTCACAACTAAGGCCTTCTCTTGAGCATCTATGAGGCTGGAATAGTTCTTTAGAGTTGTCCCAAATTGAGTGAAGGGTGCTGGGCCTTCACCCTGGAATGACAAGTCACTAGATGCCAGCAAACCTGAAGAGGGAGTATAATTTGGGAGAGGCAGCCGTTTCAGCTGAGGGCTGTTCTTGGGGAAGTATTTGGCTGTGAGCAGGCAGCAGGCAACACTTCTGGCTGCTGGATAAACAAACAACATGGTCCTGAAGGAGTATTATGGGTAGCATACCTTAACATCCACTATAGTTAACACAGAGAACAAAACTACTTGTGCTTTCATTGCTGGCTTTAAAAAGTAAAAAAAGATGTTATGTCTAACAATAATAGAATATAAGATAGATACTAAGAGAAATTTTATACAGAGACTCAAACACAGAACCTTTACAAGGGGCCAAGAAACACCGTTTTAACTACTTCCCCACTGATGAATTTGATCCCAAACTTCCTGTTCATGAATCCTAGATGTGCAACCCACAGGCATAGCATTACATACCCAAAGAATTCATATTTGATGACATAATAAAGAACTTACATTTCATAACTGCATCTTCATTCAACACCTCAAGACAATATTCAATCTAAAAGAAAATTTCCTAAATGGAAGCGAAAGCTGACTACAGTAGGCCCCATTGGAAACTAAATGAGAATTCCTTTCTCTTCACATACTCCAGTCCTCCAAAGCTTTTTCTGTGCATTAAAACTTTTTTAACATAAAAATTACTCCAGACAATCCTCAAATAATGATGGCTGACCTTTATTTGGTATACAGTATTTGGTGGACATGGCTTTTTGCCCACATGTCAGCCTTCATGTGTCTGAGGTCCCAGACAAGGCACTAGAACTCTGAGTGTTCTAAAGCCCTCCATCTCCTGCCCCAGTTGATTAACTTCTCTCACTCAACCTGCCCTGCAGCAACTATGACACTTAAAATCTTCAGCATTTGCAGTCCTGGCCTCAGATTATTGTTCCCTTGAGCTAGAGTTTGAACTTCTCAAGCTTTCCAGTTGTCTGTGTTTAATATTCCTTATCAAGATTGGACTTCCCAAAGACAGAACCTAAGTATTTTACCTTTTTACATTCTTTATTAAAAATCCTCAATTGATACTTAATAAAAGTGTATTTATCAGAGAATTATTAACAAACAGCAATATGATAATAGAAGCACATCTTTAATGTTTCATTTTCAACATTTAAGAATACATACAAAGATGGGGAGGTGTGGCTCAGTGGTAGACCACTTGCCTAGCATTTGGAAGACCCTGGGTTCAATCTCCAGCATCATTAAAGAAAAGAATATATACAAAAAATTAAGGAACTCAAACCACTTTGATTATTGCATTAATATTGATATATTTTATAAGAAAATATACTATAGAAATTTAAATAATTCTATTAATTTTCAAAACTTAATTTAATTACTGTATTTTAAAGGGAGCAAGAAAATTTTTTGAAGTAATCTTCTTTCATTATATCAAGCAGTAGATGGATTGGTTATATTCTGAAAAAAGAATGACACATTATCTCTTATTCTTTTAAGAAAAGGATCTGTAAGATTTAAATTATCTCCAGAAAAATGTTTCCATTGTTTCAGCTGTGACATGGAAAGAGGTTTCAGGGAATCAGACTTCTGGTGATGTGGACCAAGTTGACAATGTCTAGAGATGGCAGACTTTTCCAAAGAATCATCTGAAATAAGTAAAACAATGAGAAAACCCTTAAGCCAACAAATATCCTACTATATAAAACACTTTTTGTTTTATGACAATGAATTCAGGTGATTTATTACATTTGATCACCTTTGCTCGTTAAAACACTTAGTTCATTCATTCTTTCCACAAATATTGGTAAATGGTTAGTTTACTACGTGTACTGAGGCCAAAGATGGTAAACAAGCACACACATGGTCGCTGAGCTCGACCACTTTATGGCCTAGTGAGAGATATACATTAAAAATAATAATCATACAAACAAATGTATTACAAGCTGGGCATGTATTCATGAAGAAAAACAAACATTCTAGTTGTTTGAGCTTTCTAGACTTCAAAACTGAAGACACTGGGGAACTACGTTACCAACTGTGGTAAGAGTATGAAGGAACAACATGGGATCATGAGCACATGTGAGAAGAGAAGCTGATCTGCAAGGTAAGTGGAAGGCTCTCTGAGGAAATGTTCTGCTAAGATCTTAAAGATTAGGAAGCAAGAGCTAGATAGGAACAGAGGTAAAGCATTCCAGGAAAAGTACCTAGAAGGCCATGAAAGGACCACAATATTGGCACCGCTGAAGAACTTACAGGTCCCTAACACAATTAGAGCTTAGACAGCAAAGGCAAAGAATAATACAAAAAGGAGACATTGAGGCCAGGAACAGGGATGCATGCCTGTAATCCCAGCCACACTGGAGGCATAGATCGAATGAGCTCAGGTCTGACACCAGCCGTGGACAAAAACATAAGACTCTATGTGAAAAATAGCTAAAGCAAAAAAAGAGCTGAAGGTATGGCTCAAGTAATAGAGCACCTGCTTGCTTACTAAGCATGAGGCCCTGAGTTCTAACTCCAGTACTGAGAAAAAAAGAAAAAAGAAGACGACACATTGAGTAATAATACAAGGTGAAGCAAGTATTCACGGATTATGAAACACAGGAATAGCAGGGACCAAATCCATTTTCCTTTCCTCCAGGGCACTCAGCCACATTTCCTAGTTTCCCTTAGAGCTATATGTTGCCACTCATTCTGGCCTGTGGAATGTGACTATGTCACTTCCAGGTCTGACATATAAAAAAATCCCCCATATGCACAATTTCCTATACTTTCTCTTCTCTCACTGCTGGCTGGCAAGGGATAGAAGAGCCCAAAGTGGAAGAAGGCTGGATTGCTAAATCACCCTATGGAAGCCTGTCCACTAAATGCCACAGTGACCTGTTACATGAGTGAGAAATATGTTTTTACTGTGGTAAGTGACTGTGATTTTTTTAGTTTCTTGTTAAAGCACTTAGCCTACCCTGAATAACCACTTTCAAGATTTTAGTATTTATCGTAAGAGCAACAGAAAGCTATTGAAGGTTTATTTTTTTAACCTTTTAATTATGGAAAATTTCAAATAAATACAAAAGTTGGCAGGATAGAAATAAAGAACCTGCATATACCTCTACCTTCAGTAACTATCAACTAATAGCCAGATTTTTAAATTTAGAACCCTCACCACTAGATATTTTCTACTTCCATATTCTGATATAAATATATAGTTTTTATCATTTCACCCATAAACATTTCACTCTGCATTTCTAAAAGATACTTTTTAAATTTTTGTCAAACCTAAAAAAAAAAAAATCCTCAAGTCATTTGTTAATATCATCAAAATGCTGCCAGTGTTCAAAATCATGAAGTGCCAAGAGATGGCAAGATTGCTTTAAAAATCTATAAGAGAACAGGGCAAAGCAGAGCACTCAAGTGGCTGAGACAGGAGGATCATGAGTTCACGGCCAGCTGGGCTACAAATCAAAACAAAATACTAAAAGATTGTAGACTAATACCTTCAAAATGCTGCACAAAAAAAATTTTTTTCTTAAAAGCTATACCCAAAGGAATGTGACTCAAGTTACTCCAGAGGCACTTGCACACCCATGTTTATTGCAGCGCTATTCACAATAACCAAGTTATGGAAACAGCCAAGATGCCCCACTACTGAAGAAGGGACTAAGAAAATGTGGTATTTATACACATGGAATTCTGCTCAGCCATGAAGAAAAATGAAATCTTATCATTCGCAAGTAAATGGATGGAACTGGAGAACATCATCCTGAGAGAGGTTAGCCAGCTCAGAAGACCAAAAATATTATGTTCTCCCTCATATGCGGACTTTAGATCTAGGGCAAAGGCAGCAATGTGGTTGGACTTGGGTCACATGATAAGGGGAGAGCACATACGGGAGGTATGGGGATAGGTAAGAAACCCAAAAAACATGATACTATTTGATGTCCTCAATGGAAAGGAACTAATGCAGAAACTTTAAAGCGACAGAGACCAATAGGAGAGGGGATCAGGAACTAGAGAAAAGGTCAGTTCGAGAAGAATCAACTTAGAATGTAATACATATGTACATGGAAGCAATGCTAGGAACCTCCCTGTATAGCTATCCTTATCTCAACTAGCAAAAATGCTTTGTCCTTCTTATTATTGTTTATACTTTCTCTTCAACAAAATTAGAGATAAGGGCAAAATAGTTTCTGCCTGGAAGTGAGGGGGTGGGGGGGGGAGAGGGAGAGGGCAAGGGGGAAAAGGAAGCGGCGGGGGAAGGGGGGAGAAATGACCCAAACATTGTATGCACATATGAATTAACGGAAAAAAAAAAAGCTATTATCCAAATTGAGCATTTAAGATAGACAGCATTAGAGAGAGTGTAAAAAAAATACACTTTAAGAATCAAAGATTAAGAAAGTTAGCAACTATCAGCCCTTGTTGAGAAAAAGAAAAGATGGAAATGAATCAAAATATATCAAAAAATGATTATAATAAACATTTTAGCTAAAAGGGGACATCAGATTATAAAAAGAGAAAATCTGGCTTTGCACTGTTGACAAGAAAAATACCTAAACATTAAGGACACAGAGACTTAATGTAAAAGAACAGAAAGTCACACCAAATACTAACAAGAAGAAAGCTAATGCAATATATTAAGACAAACTGAAAGCAATGGCATCAGGGATAAGCAATCATGAAATAAATAAACACAAAGAAGGAACAACATGGATAAAGCAAAATTTGACAGTATCAAGAAATTTTCAGTAACTCAGTCTTATCCTGTCAGATTTTAACAATCTTCAACAGCAAATATATTTTAATGAGATCATTAGTTTTCAAAATGAGCAAACAATATAAACACATGGTACCCAGAAAGGAAATATGGTTCTTAAACACAGGAAATATACTAAAATTCACTCACAAATGAAAAACAAATTAAAACTATACCAATATACTATTTTCTTACTATAAGGTTGAGAAAACCCCCAATTTTATTTAACAACCCACTAAACTGGCAAGGTTTGGGGGAAATAAACATTCTAGTATATTTTGAGTGAAGTGTAAAGTGAAATAACTTCCAATAGAGGGCATTTTGGCACTATCTATCAAATTACAAATGTACTTATTTTATGACTCAGCAACACTAATAATTTACCTTATAGATATACTTGAACATATGGAAAAAGATGCATGAATAAAAGTATACACTGAATGAAAAGTACCTAATTATACATTTGTGGAAAATATAAAATATTTGGAACTGAATAATGACAAAACTGCATATAAAAATGGTGGGATTTTACCAGATGCCAGTGGCTTACACCTGTAACCCTAGCTACTTGGGAGGCTGAATTGGAAGGATTTCAGTTCAAAGCCAGCCCAGACAGAGTACATGAGATGCCATCTCCAAAATAAACAGAACAAAATGGCCTGGAAGTGTGGCTTAAGCAGTAGAGCACCTGCTTTGTGAGCACAAAGCCCTGAGTTCAAACCCCAGTCCCACACCCTCCCCCCAAAAATTATCGGATTTAGCTTAGAAAAAAAACCTTAGTTTTAAATACCCATTCTACAATAGAAAACTGAAAATCATTAGGCTAAGTATTCAACTTAAAAAGTAGGAAAACATTATGTCATAAAAAAGGAGGGGAAGAAATAAAAGAATTATTAAAACAGAAAAAACATATAATAGGATCAAATGTTGCCTAATTTTACTAGCAAAATGACCATGGAGAGAAAACCTGAATACATTTATCTGAAGTTTAAAATCTAGCCCCTAAATATTTATGTATTTTATATGTTATATTTTATAATTAAAATATAATTCTATGATTATACATAATTGTAAGTTATTTCTAACACTTATAAATTTTAGAATATATACAATTTTCCAAAAAATATTTTATAGGCTTATATGAAACACAAATTCTTCCATATCAGTCGTTTTTGTTTTTTGGGTTTTTTTTGGCAGTACTGAGGTTTGAATTCAAGGCCTCACTTTTCTAGGCAGGCACTCCTCTACAACTAAAGCCATGCCTACAGCCCTCCCTGTCAGTCTTATATAGTCTACTCCTTAAACATACCTCAATACAATTTACCAAGTGACTTTAAACCACTGGACACTTCTTGCTCACATCCCATTCCTCATCTCGTTCCTTTTTGAATAGTTAAGTACCTCAGAAAGTCTGACCCCATTATGAGTAAGTTCTATACAATACAAACAAATGGTAGGATTATTTTATCAAGTGTATGATTTTATTAAGTAGAAATAAAAATTAGGGCTAGGAATGTTAGACCAGTTAGTTGATCACTTGCCAAGCACACACAAGGTCGTAGGTTGGATCCCCAGGTCAATATATGTGCGTGTTAGGGTATGGGTGCGTGTGTATGTTCAGACATATGTATAAAAAACATTTTTCTAGAGCTGGAGGTTCAAGCAGTAGAGCATTTGCCTAGCAAGTGTGAAGCTCTGATTCCAAACCCAAATACTGAAAAATAAAAATTCTAACTGTGAAACCATTATACCAGCTTTGAAAATTTTTCCTATATAATTTTTCACAACAGACTCAGAAAAAGAAACTAGATTGACAGACCAGGGTTCTACTGAATATTTTCTCACATATATATCTAACAGTTACCCTGTGAGCTAAAGAATAAACTAACATATGCCAATGGAAAATATTTTGAAGTTATTCTTTAAATATTTTCAACTGCTACAGAGAGATAAATTAATTTTTACTATAGTAACAAAATCAAAATACAACTAACCTGCGTGATCTATTTCTCCCGTACACTCACAGTCAAGCAGGTCATGAGTAACACAATGTGAACTTTCATGAAATGTGAATAAATTTTTAAGTTCCTCTACTGAAAACTGAATATGTTCAGATGCCTTGGTTAGGTCTACAACTGTCCCAGAAAGACCTTGCTTACTGATCTGCCTTTGATAGATCTTTTCTTCTATTGTACCTAAAGAGAAAACATTTATTAGATTTCCTTCATATCTTTATGTCTTATTTTTGTAGGATAAAACATGTTTATTAACATATTAGTTAACAAAATAATATATTCCTGACAATGAAGAACAGACTAACAAAAATATTTTTTAATTATTCAAAGGGTATACATTTTTGTCACATTGAAGGGTTATTACCTGTGGTGAGGAGTCTGTAAATATGGACAGGATATTTCTGACCATCTCTCCATACTCTAGACATAGCCTATAAAAAATAAGTGAAAATTTTGAGTACAATAGAAACTAAATGGCCCTTGCCATTTAAATAATTTATAGGAATGTATTTTAAGACAGAGAATTGTTAATTTCACTAACAGCTTCAAAAAACAAAGACCTAGTCATGCTCAAGCATGCCCCCACTTTATCTTTGTTCTGAGATAAAGAAAGGGAGGGTTGAGCACTCACAGAAGTACTGTAAGATAATGGCAAGGGGTGCCACACAGCACCTGCCTGGTAAGACTGCTAAATAGTTTATGCTAACAGATGATACAGATGAGGGCCTTGGGCCATGTGGTATAAACTTGATCTCTGGAGGGGTTAGAGACTAAGGTCAGTCTTGCTGGTGTTCTAGGCCTACAGGACTGACCCCCAACAAAATACTCTGGACACCAAAGCTTGAGTGAACTTCCCTGGTTGATAATACTCCATTGGTGTCATCACTCACTGATGCTAAGAATGAAGTATCATCCATACAATTCTGCTGGGAAGTAGAAATGGAAGCTTGGGCCTAGTCCCTCCTGAACTATGTCCTATGCACCTTTTTCCTTTGCTGATTTTAGTAACATAATAGTTATAATAATATAACACAATTGTGAGCAAAGCTGTTCTCCTTCTAGTGAATCATTAAACCTGAGGATTGTCTTGGGATCCCCTAGTGCAGACACCAACTGAGATACAAATCTAAACGTAGAAATCTCAAAATACATGAAAGTAGACTGTACACTGAAGTCAAAAAAAGGCTTTTCAAATAGTTCCCTAAATAATTTTATACCCTTATTATATCCTGCAAAAATTGATGACAGCATCCATGACACTTTGACTTTCTCTTCTGGTCATGTCTTTCCCAAAGGCTCAACTATACAGTCACTTCATCTCTGGAGACTTAATAGTTGATTTGTTTGTTTTTGGCAGTACTGGTGTTTGATCTTGGGGCCTCATGATTACAAGGCAGGCACTCTACCACTTGAACCACTCCACCAACCCAAGATTTGGATTTGAATCCTGGTTCTGGTTCTATAAGCTATAGGACCAAGAACAAGCTTCCATTTCTTCATTTGTAAAAGTAGGACTATTGGGCAAAAAGTTCACAAGACCCCATCCTGTGATGCCACTGCAGGTACATAGGAGTCTGAGATCAAGAGGATTCCAGGCCAGCCCAGGCAAAAAAGTTTGGGAGACTCCATCTCAATGGAAAAAAACTGAGTGTAGTGGTATGTACCTGTCATCCTAGTTACTGCAGGAAGTGTAAAATAGGAGGACCACAGGCTGAGCTGGCCTAGGTGTAAAGGGAGATCTTATCTCCAAAATAACTAGAGAAAAAAGGGTTGGAAGTGTGGCGCAAGTGATAGAGCACTTACCACAAAAATAATAATAATTATATATATGGCTACTAATATCCATATTTGAGAGATTGTAAAGATTAAATAGATGGTGGGTAGAAAGCACTTAGGAGAGTACCTGATACAAAATAGGAGCTCCATATACAACAGTTTTTATCCATAACTGTTACCATCTTTGTATTCCCAGCATTTGATAACATCTATTTAATGCATAAGTATTCCTACCTGGATATCAGTGGCTGGATTCCAGTCAATGTCATAGAGAATTAAGTGAGATCCTCCAATGAGGTTTAGTCCTATACCACCAGCTTTTGAACTTAACAAAAAAACAAAATCAGAAGAATATTTGCTATTGAAGCCATCCACAATGTGCTGCCTTTGAGAGATTGGTGTTTGCCCATCAAGTCTTACATAAGCATATCCATGGCGCTGGCATACTTCTTGTAAAATATTCAAGGTTTGTGTGTAGTTGGATACCAAAACCACCCTGTCAATCAAAAAGAAAGATTTGTTACATAAAATTTAAGGCAATATTGGATTTTCTTAGTTAAAGGAAACTACCACAATACTATCACTGATATTTACAGAATATGTAACAATAACCTTATACAATTAACACATAAGTACTCCTTCACATTCAATTTTAAAGTCATTGTCTAAAGTTCCAGTTTTAAGATAGTAGAATAAAGACCTTGCCTTCATCTCTCTGAAGTCACCCTAAATAGAGCAAGAGAATGAGCAAAATATAAAAATGAACAAAAATATAAGCTCTACCTTTGATAAAACAAGGAGACATTTATATGTAAAAACATGAAGAAAAATAAAGCAGTAAGTGACCTACTTTAGGAGTACAAAGAAGGTAAAACCTAAGTGCCCAAAGAGGGAGACTCCAGTAAGAAACCAATGCAAGTTCATTCACATCTTACAATCTTGCTAAGGTACCTAAGGAGGAATATAGACTGGAGCAATTCATGAGTATTGGTAAATAGAGCCCAGGCCTGCCCCCATGAGACCAGCTGACTTTTCTTTTTCAAACAGAGTATTTATTCTCTGGAGAAAGAAACGTAGACCAAGAAGACAAGATACAGCGACAAATCAAAATGAAAGTCTAGATCCTGGGTAAGTCCCCCCTTTCCTGCCAATTCCCAGAACACCAGCAGCCAGGCAACCCTCTCACATCCAAGCCCAAGAAGAATCCTTCTATGAAAGACTTGAATGACCCAGAGAAAAGATTCAAGAATAACAAGTCCCCAAGTAAAAAAGAGCAGTTTGCTGACTGGTTATCCAATGAAAACCAGTAGTCAACAAATCCTGCATTTGCATACAGAGTGCTCAATTAATGTTTTACTGCCTTACCCTAAAGTAAGGACTCCAAGGACAACCACCTATTTGAGGTGAGCCTCAACATGAAAAGGAGAAACCACAACAAACAGGAAGGAAGAAACCTGAATGTCTTAAGTTATTTTCTTATCACTGTGACAAAATACTTGATCTAAACAACTTAAGGGAGGAAGGATTTATTTTGACTCACAGTTTCAGAGGCTTCAGTCCATGATCACTAGGATCTGTGTTTCTGGGCCTATCGTAGGCAGAACATCATGGCAGCAGGAGCATGTGGCAGAGACTAATTACCTCAGAGTGACCAAGAAACAGAGAGACCAGAAGATCCCAGTGACCAGATACCCCCCAAAGACCCACCCCCTGTGAGCTCTACTTCCTCCGGGTAGGCTCCGTCTCCTAAAGTTTCCAGCACCTCACACAATAGCACCACTAAGCTGGGGATGAAGCCTTCAATATTATTAGCCTTTGGGAAGGACACTTCATATCCAGACTATAACACTGAATAAAGCAGAGCCATGGAAGAAACAAAAGACAACTTTAAGCCAATAATCATGGGAAAAGTTCAGGATTGCAATGGCAAAATGATGAAGCTGGTTTTGGACATCTGAAGCTTGAAGTACAATAGGACATCAAAATAGATTTACATGCCCATTTCACAGAAATAAGTATGTAGAAATTAGAAGAAAAGGACTGAGCTGGGGATACAAACTTGGAATCAAATATATTATATGGATTATAGTAGAAAGTATAAGGAGCAGAGACCACCCAGGAAAGTAGTTAAGACTAGAAAAATGTGAACGAGAAAACCCTAAGGTGCAGCAACACTTAAGGGACAGTAAAAGAAGTAACAAGTTGAATGTTATATATCAAAAAACATCACTAGGTTTTTTAATTTTTACATATATTTAGTTTTTCTTAAATAAAAACTTACAAATTGTTACAAGCTAACAAAATACTGTGAGCTGACCAGGCCCCCCAAAAATGCTCTTTTTAATGTTTTCTTATTAAAGGAGGGAAGGGAGAGGTAAAATTCTATGAGCGCTTACAGGCAGTTTATTAAATTGATCTCTTACTTTTCAGTGGGACGAAGTTCGTGGATAACTGCTAAGAGCTTTGACAGCACCTGTAGTTTTCCTGACTCATTCTCAGTAAACAGGAGAGGGTTGTAATCAGCAGGGAACACATTTAGCAAGCCTTGGTACAGATTCCTTTCTCCATTTTCATCACCAGTTGAGCTACATTCTTTATCCTATTCAGAATGATGATTGTTAATACTGGTGTATTTTTTTTAATAAGGAGAAAAGATTGTGGGTAGGGAAGAGGAGAGTAGAGATTAATAGCTACCTGAAAAGTCCAAGTTAACTGTTAAGTAAATTTTTGTAGGTCACAATTTTATCATTTTTGCAAAAGGTAACATACAACCTACTGAGCAGTTCTAGTACAGTCTCCTAATGGCTGCTACCTTCACCCTCATTTCCCACAAAACTACGGGGGGGTGGGAGAGGTCAGAGAAAGAAAAGAGAGGAAAATAAAGGGCAAACAGCAATGCAAAATCTGTCCTTCCAAAACCCTGGCATTTCCCATCATCAATATGTCTTTTCCTATTTTTATTCTCTCCCTCCCCCATCACTTTTTGCTTCTGATTCATGGGCTACATACATCTCCTAGGAGATTCCAAAACCAAGCCCAATAGTTTACTTCTGGGAGAAGTAACAATTTAATTGAGGAATGTATCTTTACAATACTATTTATTTATTTTACCAAATTTTTTTGGAGTGCTGGGGATTGAACACAGGGCCTCAAACTCCAAGCCCCTAGTTTGCTAATAGTTTTTTGGATAATTTTATTCCAAAGTGATTATCAGCACCTCTGAAATTCCTCCTCCCAAACTGCTAGTTAACATATGAAATACATAAATTGAAATTAGAGTTATTAATAGCCTTTTCTTTTTTTTAACTTTTTTGGCAGCACTAGGGTTTGAACTCAGGGCCGTACCCCAAGCCCTTTTTGTTTTAGTTTTATTTCTGATATAGTATCAAACTTCTTGCTGGGGGCTGGAAGCAATCCTCCTACTTCTGCCTCCTGTGTAGCTGGGATTGTAAGAGTGAAACACCATATCCAGGTTATTCTTTGAGATAAGGTCTCACTAACTGTTTTTTGCCTCAGAGGCCTCAAACTGTGATCCTCTTATCTCTGCCTCCCAAGTATCAGGGATTGCAGTCCTGTACCACCTCACCTGGCATCTTTTATTTTATTTATTTATTCTTTTGCACTGTACATTTCAGCTGTCACCCTGTTTAACTGAACACTAACTATGTATTTTTTGTACTTCCCTAACGTTTTCTTGCATGTTATATTCCCTCTTTAACAGTACAGGCAGTGAATCCTGTAGCCTAAGATGCAGGCACAAAGTACTAACTGCAATTTGGCTTATCAACAAAATATAGCAATACTTAAGTAAAATCACTTAATTTCACATTTGAAATTTGAAGATATTATATCACTGGGATATTTGGAGAAGTGATGGCTGCTAGCTGCTTTGGGTTAGGACTCTAAAATGCCCACTGACTTGGAAAGGTCAACAAAGAACCACCATTAAAGAACCAGAGGGTTTAGTCCACAGCTTTCACATTTTAAAATGTGAATATGAGGGGCTGAAAGTATAGCTCAAGTGGGAGAGCATTCATCTAGCATGTGCAAGACCCTAAGTTCAATACCCAGTACTACAAAAGAAAAAACTTGAATATGCTTAAGCCCTAAGGAATTAATAATTCAAACTAACCAAATTAAGAGACTAAATAAGTCAGAATTCAATGGGTTCTAGAAAATGTATCAACCTACAAATGAGTTGTACCTATTTAAATGAATTGGTCTGTGGATTCTGCCTGAAAAAAGATCCAGAGGGGAAGCAAAATCACTAGCAGGTTGTCTGGTGAATATTAAATCAGAGTACAAGGAAGATGGGTGATCTCAACATACAATTTCTTAAATAGGAATACATAATCAAAAGCTCAATATAAATCCTCATACCTGGGTCCTACCAGTGATTCTGGTCAGTTCATATGTGTTGAACATGATAATAATTAATAATAATAATTAATTAATAATCGACTAATGTCAATACCTTTATTCTGTGGCAGTCTGATACATTACTTCCAATGAAACCCAATGCCCTTTGATTTTGAGTTATAATATAATTATTGGTTATATTCCATTCACATTTCCTGAGGAGAGACCCATTATTGATTAAACTTGGAAAACAACCTTATTTCAACAAGAATACATTTATTTTTTATAAATTGTTACCTAAAGTTTACTTATATATGTGGAATACCCTTTCCTAGAGACCCTCACTGCTTTTCTGGTAAGTCTCAGACTCTAAATGATGCCCCTCAGGTAAAGCTTGTAGAATCCTCTGCCTATTGCTAAGGGTCATATGGCAACAGTGGACAAACTCCGGAGCCCCAGCTGCTTTCTTCAAAAATGTGTGAGGATATTCTAAATTAACTAACACATTCTAAGCATCATAAAGTCTTCCTTTTATGGAAGAATTTTTGGCTTCTATTTTTGCTGGGCTTCATGCCCAAAAGGATTTAATTTTTACCATTGTATATAGAACCTGTTTCTTAAAAAGTTACTTAATAAACTGTTACAATCCTGCCTTCTGCAGTGACACAAAGCTGACTTCTCCTATGATAAGCTAAGTAAACAGAATCCATTTTAGGATAAACTTGGAGAATTCCATTTTTCAAAACATATAATTAATGACCTCAAGCTTAAAGTAGCAGCCACAGTTTTTTATTTTACTGCTTAATAAAAAAAGAATAAAAACTGTTCAGAGTGAGTTGGAAATGACAGGGTATTTAATGATTATAGTGCAGCTTCTGTGACAGGCATTCTGCTAGATTCTTTCTATAACTTCTCACCAAACTGCCACAATAACATTATTCTGAAGTTATTACTGTCTCTGCCTTCCAGATAAGAAAACTAATGCTAGACCAGATGCTGGTGGCTCACACCTGTAATCCTAGCTACTTAAGAGACAGACATCAGGAGGATGGATGGTTCGAAGCCAGCCTGGACAAACAGTTCACGAGACCTTATCTCGAAAATACCAAACACAAAACAGGGCTGGCAAAGTGCCTCAAGTGGTAGAGTGCCTGCCTAGCAAGCATGATGCTCTGAGTTCAAACCCTAGTACCGCCAAGAAAAGGAAGGAGAGAGGGGAGAAAGAAAACTAATGTTCAGAGATGTAACTTAAGAATGATTAATTTTGTCAATAATTAAATAAATAACAAGTAACACAGTGGGAATTGATAGCCAGTTCTAATTTCAAAATGGAAAATTCTCACCATACTCCAAACTGTCTTATGTTCATTCAACATCCAACAAGTCAGTCAGACTATGCAGTCATTAAAATCAAACTTACAGAAGGGATCTAATTTGGGAAAATGCTTACAATATACTTAGTGAAAAAAATAATAGGCTTTAAAATAGTGAGCCCAACATTAAAATTAAATTTTTCTAAATAAGATAATACATGCTTATTTCTGAGCCCCTATTTCTTCATCAAAAGATAGGGATGATTCCTCACACCTGTAATCCCAGCTACTTGGGAGACAAAGATAGAAGGAACGTGGTTTAAGGCTAGCCAGGACCAAAAAATTTAGTAAGGCCTTGTCTCAAAAGTGGTACACACTTGTAATCCCAGCTATGTGGGAGCCATAGGTAAGAGGATCACATTCTTAGGCTGGTCTGGGCAAAAGCATGAGACCCTATCTAAAAAGCAACCAAAGCAAAAAGGGCTGGGAGGCAAGGCTCAAGTGGTAGAGGCTTGTGTAGCCAGAGCAAAGCCTTGAGTCCAGAACACCAGTACCACAAAATCAATCAATCAATCAATCAATAAAGAAAAATAGAGACGGAAGCTGAGCACAGTGGTACATGTCACTAATCCCAGCTACTCACCAGGCTGAGGCAGGATGTTAATTTATCCCAGGAGTTTTAGACCACCCTGGGTACAATAGTAAGACTCCCGTCCCTTAAAAATTAGGGATAATAGTATTAGCACTATTTCAGAGTTGTAGAAAGTAAATAAAACAAAACTAGAAAACAACTTAGTGTCTTTTACTACATGCCTATGGTGAATGCTTAGTAACAACTAATTTTTTCTGGCTGGAATGCTTACAATGACTTCTTTTCCTTTTTGTGATTTTCTAAATTTTCTAAATTGAGAAAAAATCATGTATTATTTTTATAATAAGGAAACAAATTATTTTAATGGTAAATTTGATATTTGTTAGCATCAAACAAAATGAACTCACTACATAACATAAACTAGGAAGGAAGACCATGGCAAAGTATTGGAGGAGGTCTCCACGGGCACGTGGCACAAACTCTCCACGGGGAAGCCTCAAGCTCCCAGCCCTAGTTCAGCAGCGGGACTCAGACACGCGCTGGAGAACAGGCAGAAGGCGAGAAGCTCTACGGTAGAGCCGTGTGGAGGGCTGCACAGCTTTAAAAACCCACAGATGCAACCCCATAGCCTAGCACATCTGCCTTCTTCAACTCGTCAGCCAGAGAACCCACATCTCATAGCCTAGCACTGCTTCATAACTACTTACCTTCACTGAGCTGAACAAAAGGCAGGGGTGATTGCACAGTTTTTTAAGAGCTCCTATACAGAGTAGATGAGCACTATTTTCCAACAGCCCCTGAAGGCAGAACCTGACAGCCTGAGAATTCAACAGCTTTTGATGAAGTTCAATCTGTAGTGCTCCTGGTCGGCAAAAGACTACAGTCTCTATTTTAGGTGGAAGGTATTTATTTATGACTTCCTGGGTTCGTCTAAGAATAAAAAGTCCAGTGAGGCAAGTAAGTTCAGCTGCTCTTCTCTCTCCTAACTTTTTTTCTTCCTATGGAAAAATACCAGACTTAGTGTTAAACACAAAAATACCTACAGGAAAAATGAATGTTAAGGGTTTTATAATAATAAACCATTTACTAATTGCTCTGTCAGGTTATTTTTGAACCAAAGAAACGAGAGCTTGTTTGGAGGTTACGCAGGGGAGCGTAGCTACTTGTATACCCTTGACCAAAGAAAGGTCCTCCTCTATTGGGGATGGTCGTCCTCTTCCACCGAGCGCGCAGCTTCGGGAGGGACGCACATGGAGCGGTCAGGAAGGAAGGGGACACCCGCCTAGCCAGCCAGATCAGCCCAATCAACCCTGGCGATCAATGGGGTGACAGATGTCGCAGGAAGATCGGCCTCACATCCGAACCGAAGAAATGAAATACAAGTATGGGGACAGGAAAACCAAGCATGGGGCTGGGGAGATAGCTTAGCAGTAGAGTGCCTGCCTGGTTTAATTCCAGGCATTAGGGGAAAAAAATAGAAAAGAAAATCCAGACCCAACTGTAAACTTTTTAAGTGTCCAGTATAATTATTTAATTAAGTGAAGTCACTATCTCCTGATCATAGCTTCTTTGGTTATTGGCACCATGGAGAACCATTAGAAATCAAGTCTACAAATTAAATTATTCTGAAAATCAGCTTTTGTGTGAAGACTGTAATTCATCAGCAACGAACTGATAAAGCAAATTCTTGGACGCAAATATTTTAACATGTATTGAGCAAAAAAAACCTAAGCCTACAAGAAATTACTGGCACAGCTGGCAGAGTGGCTCAAGCAGTAGCAAGCACGAGGCCCTGAGTTCAAATCCCAGTATTGCAAAAGAAAAAAAAGAAATTACTGGGAAAAAACTGTATTGACTCTTTCAAAACCATTACATATTGTTCATTAAATAATATAACATTTTAAGTCAAAATACAGTATGAAGTGGAAATATTCTCTATGTAGAATCTCTGGAGAATACAAAACTTTACAGTGAAGCTTAAAACAAATCCCATTTTGTGTGTGTGCATGCAAGTATGTGTGTATGTGTGTGTATCAGAAATTTTCCTTTATGTTTTAAAAGAATGTTTATCTTTTTATTATGAAAGTAATAGATCAAATAATGCATATGCATATATGTAAACGCAGAAATGATACTTCTTGAAGCTATTCTAGGAATCAGGGGAAGGGATCAAAGACAGCAAGTGGAGGGAGTAAATTCAAGTATGATATATTTGATGCATTGTAACAACCTTTGTAAATGCTACAATGTACCCCACACAGCACAACAACAATAAAAAAATTTTATAGAAAAGAAAGTAATAGATCAAAAAAATGACAGAAACTACAAATCTGCAAAAATTAAAAATCTAAAATCAAATTTACCCAACTAGAAACAACCAACTTGTCAAGACTTTTGTATGTTTTCTAAGTCTTATTTCTCTCCATGAATATGCAAATATATTTAATGATTTACATTTATTTTTAACAAAAAGAGGATCTCAAACTATACAGCTTCCCGCAAACAAAGAACCAATCATTTTGGTTCACCAATGTGTTCCCCCAGTGTCTACTACTTAGCCTGTGGCCTGCTTACAATGTTTAATGTATGTGTTGGATCAATAAATGAATGGGATGTTATTTTTACATTTTCCATGCCGTTAAATATTACACAAACTATCATTGCAAATAATTCCTGAAAATGCTTAATGAGTTGATAAATTATCATTTTTTATTAATCCTGAGATAGAACATTTTTTCTTACTTTACCTTCTCTAAAATAGGCTGCTTTTTAAAAATCAATGTTTTCTTAGGATTGTAATTGATACTATATTTTCTTTAGTGATAGAGTGGCAAAATCGCCTATAATTAATAGATAGTATCTTAGATTCAATAAAATATAGTGTCTATACATAGACCATTTTCATATCTTCAGAAATGTTTTTTGTTAGCTTGCTTACAATCTTTTATCAGTACAACAAAATCTTTAAACAAACTGTATTACTTCTTTATAATAAATTCCTACAAACAGCATCATCATAAGACTGACACAATTTTAAGATTTTTGATATACATTGCCAAACTTTACTCAGGTTGTGTCAATTTACATTCCAACCAGCAGAGGACTCTCATCTACACTTGCTATTACTATGTAAATCCAACATCTAAAACAACAACAGAAAAGTACAAAAGTTATTTCCTGGTTATTTCAATTTATTTGTTTCAAAACCAGTAAGGTGTAACATTTTGATGTGCTTACTGGATTTTTATAATCTTTTTGAAGTGATTTTTTGTGAATTTTAGTAAGTCATGAGAAATGAAAAAACTGGGGGAAAAAGTCTACCTATTAATTAACTTCGTTCTAAACTAAAATAATACCCAAGTTATGGATAATTCTTATAGGCTTACTGTTTTTTTAAATAAAATCTTATTTATTAAAGTAAATTATACCTCAGAAGAAGAAGGTTCTCTTGACATAATGATCGGTTCTTCATATATTTTCCTATAAGATGACAAAGAGCCTAATATTCCTGGATTAACAAAATCAATTAATGCAAAAAACTCTTGTAGATCATTCTGAATTGGAGTACCTAAGAAGACATAAAAGTGACAAGAAGGACAAGGGGTTTTTTGTTCGTTTGTGGATTTTGTTTTGGTTTTTTGGTGGTACTAGTGTTTAAACTTAGGATTTTATTGAGCCACACCTCCAATCTGTTTTGGTCTGGTTATTTTGGAGATGGGGTCTGGTAAATTTTTGCCAGGGCTGGCCTCAAACCTCAATTCTCCTGATCTCAGCCTCCCAAATAGCTAGGATTACAGGTGTAAGCCATCGGCACCTGGCTGACAAGTTTACTTTAGAATCACAGGTCTTTATAAAAATTTGTACTCTCTTCCTTAAGAGGAATAAATATAAGCAAATTCCCTAAAACTGAGAAAGAGCAGCCAAATCAAGTTTAAAAATGTTTATAATCACATGAATTTTTATCTATTGTTTTAACAGTACAGCAAGTGAATGTAGGCTGTGGAGTCTGACTGCTTAGGTTCAAATCTTACCTGCATCACTTCCTCCCAGTTCTAAGCAAGTTACTTACACCAGTTTATTTTCTGCAAAATGGGGATTAAAAATAGTAGTTCCTTGGCCAGGCGCTATGGCTCACACCTATAATCCTAGCTACTCAGGAGGCAGAGATCAGGAGGACTGCAGTTGGAAGCCAGCCTGGGCAAATAGTTACGCTAGACCCTAGACCCTATCTCGAAAAAAATCTTTCACAAAAATGGGCTGGTGGAGTGGCTCAAGGTGTAGGCTCTGAGTTCAAGCTCCAGTACTGAAAAAAAAAAAAAAAAAAAAGAGCAGTTTCTTGGGTTGTAAGAACCAAAATAGTCAATCTGTATAATACACTTAAAACAGTACCTAACTTAGACTTCTAGCCTCAAGAACTGTGAGAAAATAAACTTCTTTTATTTAAGCTACCCAGAATGTGGTATTTTGTTATGACAGTCACAGCAGACTAACACGCCTCCCTCTGTCAGTTAATCTGAGTCCTAACCATTCTCTAGTCAATATTAATTGAATGTTTCCCACAGCACTGAGCTAGAATGCCAGGAAACAAAATCAAATTTCCTTTCATTTTATTCCTAGTTATCGATCATCTATCATGTATGCAGCACTATGCATACTCATATACAAACATGTACTTTCATAGTAAGGAAATAAATCACCTTGAGACAAAATGTTCTGCCATTATAAAAACAAAGAACTGGTTTGAGGACCTAGTTCAGTGGTGGAGAATTTAGTATGTGCAAGGCCCTGGGAACAATCCCTAGCACCCCAAAAAATAAATAAATAAGAGCAAAGAATTTATTCAGGCAATTCTAAGGACATAAAAACCAACTATGAGTACTTCTAAATTTAAAAGGCTAGTTAGTGCTAATTTTTATCTATATTCATAGCTCAGGAAGCAAAAGTGATGAGGACAAGAACACAGAAACGATCTAAGACTGACTAAGTAGGGATATAGGACAATGCTAAACCCTCAAATGAAACTATCTCATTAGGCAACATGAGGACCTTCCTTATGAATTAAGTATCAGAATCAATATTCCAGTGCGGAAATTAAGGGTTTTGTTTTGTTTTTGTTTTGCAGTGTTAAGGATTGAACCAGGATCTTATGCATCCTAGGCAAGCTCTCTACCACTGAACTATATCCCAGCCCCTGAAAAGATTAAATTTAATTTGGAATGGTAAATGAGTAGCTGCTTGTAATTAAGAATATTAATATAACTATCCATTCTTGTAAAGAAAGTTATCTGTCTTAAGCGAGGAAAGATTTTACTTTATAGCCGTGACTACTCTTTAAATAAGCAGTATGGACTCCTCCTTAAGGAGTAAGGACAAACAACCTCTGCTTTTCTCTTACAACACAATGCAATCAAACTCACCTAGGTCATTTTTTCCATTACTTTTCCAGTCCCAAGGATCTCACCATCAAAGGCTAATCAAAAAGTATGACTATATAGCTGGGCGTTGGTAGCTTACACATGTAATCCCAGCTACTTGGGAGACTGAGATAAGGAGAATCGTGGCTAAAGGCCAGCCCAGGCAAATAGTTCATGAGACACCCCCATCTCCAAAATAACCACAGCAAAATGTGCTGGATGTGTGGCTCAAGCGCAGGTGAGTGCCTGCTTTGCAAGTGAGAAGCCCTGAGTTCAAACCCAAGTCCTACAAAAAAAGAAAGTCTGACTGTACCTTTGGGAATTAAAATAAAGAATCCACTCAGATTGTCAAATAGTCAAAGGCATGAAAATCACCTAGATTAAGTTTTTGATTTCCCCAATTCCTTTTTTCATTTAGAAAGCATTTTATAAATACAAAATACTAGCTTTTCTATTCTCTGCTTTCCACATCACTAGTACAACATTTGTTGAGCATCTACTAAATCTTGGGGATAAAAGTAACTATGATGTTTGATCCTATCCTTTTTATCTTTTTAATCTTTAAGTGACACAGTTTCACTGTATTGCCCAGGCTGGCACATGTGATCCTTCTGCCTCATCCTCCAGAGTACTGGGATTACAGACATGAAATACCACATGCAGCTCAAAACTATTTTTTAAAGTACAGTTTTAAAAATCACTCTGGCAATGTTTAATATAGCCCTCCTACACAAATTGGACGTCAAATGACTGAATTACTTAAAGATGAATTCCCTCCTTACCCCATCTCAGTAAGAACAGAAAAAGGGGAGTCTTTTCTGTTGCTCTGGGGTATAATTCTACCCTAAAGATTTAAAAAAAGAAGGAACAAGTTTTGTTTACTTTCCTTCTCTCTTCTCATTTTAACTTCAGAGGACTTCTTTTATGTGTGCATAAAGGACACATGAAGGACAAAATTACACAAGAAATCATGATATAATTAAGAATAATCACACCCTGCCCATTCCTTCTATAAGGGTTGAAGATGGTAGAGAAATGGAGCCTTGGGTAGAAAATGAAGGGCTGTAAATATTAGTAATGAATATAGTTCCCCTCCTTCTTCTGCCAGAATGGCAAACCTGAAGAATGATCTAGGTGAGGTATGAGAGAAAAGCTATACTGTGCTACTCGACCTGACTCTAGGCTAGGCCTTAAGCTATAAAGGAGTGGATAGAAAAGGACTGTTGAATCTACACATGGTCCATCCCACCTTTCCAGACACACTGGGCCAGAAGCCTTGGCCAAAAGTAAGCCATACACATATAGCACTGATATATAAAAGTAACTGCCAAGGATGGAGGTGTGACTCAAGTGGTAGAGCACCTGCTTTGCAATGGGGAAGCCCTGGGTTTAAACTCCAGTCCCACTAAAACAAAAAACCTAATATTTATATTAAATATTTACAATGTGTCAGGTAATCCCAAACTTTACACAGATTAAACCTTTTACCACTCTATGAAGTAGACATATTATATCCCTATTTCACTGATAAGGAAATTGAAGAATTTCAATTTCAAACTTGCCCAAAGTTGCACAGCTCTAAATGTCAAACTCAGAAACCAAGCACAGGCAGTCTGGTCCAATCATCTATATTCACAATGATATACTATGATAACATTGTATTTATTCCTCAAAAACCCCAAAATCAGGGGTACAGAAAATCAACACAGGGATTGAAGATTCAGAATCTCCCAAGATTTATTTGCATGAATCCCATCCAATACCCCTAGTTCTTTGGACATCAAGCATCAGACTACAGGTCATATTTGTTCACTAGGCAAAAATTCCATATCTTCCCAAAAAATGAATACTAACCAGTTAGAATTACTCTTTTCTCACAAGAGAGGCTGATGAGGGCTGTAGTTGTCTTAATGGTACTGTTCTTCAAACGATGCCCCTCATCACAGATTAGAAGATCAAATTTTATATTCTTAATTTGATCCAGGGAACGAAGAAACATTTCATAACTGATGATAAGAACAGGATAAAATGTAGATTTGATGAATTCTTCAACTTTGTGGTCCTGAGAAAAAAGATAGCATCTTACAAACTATGAGCAGAAACTATGTAAAATCAACTTTAGGCAGTCTATTTCTGCAGTCACTTATCAAGCATTAGAACATGTTAACTTTTCCTGTCTTGGTCAGCTCAGGCTGTGATAACAAAATACCATATTAGGTAGCTTAAATAAAGAGACATTTATTTCTCACAGTCTGGAGGATGGGAATCCTAAGATCATAGTGCCAATGAGGGAGGGCCCAGTCACTAACCTGGTTTACTGCATTTTGCTTGACTCCATCTTGTTTCTTCTCCTTTCCTAGAATCTCTTGAATCCTTCTCCCTTAAAGTTACCTCAAATCCCAGGAACAACAGGCTTGATAGATGAGCCCTAAACTACCTCTTAAGCAATAGAGTCCTTCTTGGCACCAACAAAGCCCTGCATGGCTGATCCTGAGATAAAAGCTCAAGGAAAAGATCAACCAGACCAAGGAGACCTGGACAAATAATTTTTACTTTTGTTTCTCTTTCCTATATTACAGAGACTACTGTAAGCAATCTGAAGACAGATTTTACGTCATTATACTCTATCATCAGTGTGATGACACTGTAAGTAAAACTTCTTTCCTACCTTCATCTTGCCTAGTCTCTTTCATGGGCTTTCTGGGACAAGTGGCCAAGTCTAATCCACTGGGACTCCTTGGAGCTGGGGCTTTTACCCTAACTCCAGTAACATCAACACAATAGATTAGGGCCCTCTTTCTGGCTTGCAGAAGGAAGCCTTCTTAGAACTACGTCCTCACATTGGTGAAAAGAGGCAGCTCTGGTAATCTCTTCCTTTTCTTACAAGGGCACTACTCCCACTACAGGGCTCCACCTTTGTGACTTCATCTAGCCTAAACACCTCCCAAAGGCCCTGCCTCTGAAAACCATTATACGTGATTTCTGACTTATGATGGCTAACTTACAATTTTTTGACTTTAAAGTGGTACAAAAGGATACCCATCCAACCATTGTTGTCTCCTTTCAGTGTTTGATAAATCATGAGATACTCAACATTTTATTATAAAATAGGCTTTCTATTAGATGATTTTGCCAAACTTTAGGCTAATGTAAGTGTTCAGATCATGTTTAAGGCTGGCCTGAAATGTACTATAAATGCAGTAGATAGCCCAGGCTGACCTTGAACTCTGGATCCATCTGTATTGGACTCCCAAGTGCTGGCATTACAGGCATGCATCATCATGTCTGGCTGAACTTTCAAGTCATTATGTTTCATAACCCCTTCGCAAGTCAGTGAGCATTTGCATACTGAGAGATAGGGCTTCAACACATGGACCAAATATTCATTTCCACAATACAAAACCAAAATGTATGCCAAGACTTCATTTTTGTGCAAAGAGATTGGGGAATTACATATACTGCATCATAAAAAGTTAAAAACTGAAGGTTCAACTTTTAGAAGTCTCTTACCTGATCAACAGTAAATATCTTGATCCTTTCATTTCCTAGCCATTTTTTAAATTCTTTCCTCCAATTATTCACCAAGCTTCCAGGTGTGACAATAAGTGTCTTCTTTATTACTGGCTTGCCTCCATAGGGTCCCTGACACTGGAGGGTCCAGATGAGTGAAATACACTGCAATGTTTTCCCTAAACCCATTTCATCAGCAAGAATAGCTCCATATCTGCCGTTCATCCTGTGAGAAATAACTGTACTTTCTTTAATCATATTAGGAAAACATTTTATGCCCCTAACATCATCAAGAACCAGAAACTGATATTTTGTAATGACAGAGAAGACTTCATTCTAATTTATAACATATTCCATCTTTAATAACTAATTCTATTATATATTGCTAGCTAAATTACCAAAACATAAATCTGAAAGCAGAAAGCTAAATATAAATCATCTCTTACTGTTATATGTACATATTTGGTGACTAGAAATGAATGCCAATTTTTATATCTACATTTGGATAATTTAACTATAATTGGATTTCTCATCACAGTTGAGCAATTTTTACTAGTTTCAATATTAGATATCAACACAGCTTAAAGTATATGGTAACTTTACTCAGTAAGTTCTATTGAGCTGAATTTATTTAGAATTAATGAAATTGTTATGGAATATGAAGAATTTATCACTTCAACCAAAGTAATAATTCCTCAACCAAAATAGTTCCATATACTATAATTTAAAAAAAACAAACAAACAACAACAAAAAAACTATGTACTTGTAGTTGTTTCTTTTGTTTTGTTTTGTTTTCTGTTTTTTGCAGTAATGAAGTTTAAACTCAGGGCCTACATCTTAAGATACTCCACCAGCCATTTTTGTGAAAGGTTTTTTTAAGATAGGGTCTCAAGAACTATTTTGCCCAGGCTGGCTTCGAACCGTGATCCTTCGGATCTCTGCCTCCTGAGTAGCTAGGATTACATGAGTGAGCCACTGGTACCCAGCTTATGTACTTGTTCTAATTCACATAATTTAGTAAAAGTCTGTTATCCTAGAGACCTACTAAATTAATGCAATTTAAAATTAAATGTTATTAGGAATATTAGTAAGACCATGCATTTTTATACCATTTTATGTTTTTAAAGCCTTCATTTATCTACATTATATACATTAAAAAGCTACAAAGCCCAGGAGAATTAAGGATATTGGCAAAAATATAAGTATAGTTAGTTAATTGAATTCCTTATTAGTAGAAATAAGAACCAATAAGCAATTTTATATGTTTCCACTTTGAGGTATAGAGAAAAAAATTACAAACATAAAATATAGCCATTATATTGTCTTAGATAAACAATTGGTCAAAGCAGGCCAAATGTCAGTCAAATGAAGTATGCATAATAAATAGCAAAGGAAAAAAAAAATGCATCCTTCCATGGTAGGAAAGGCAGCAGGAAAGCCATAGAGAAGAGGCACCGTGTGTACAACTTTAAAGGGTAAACACTAGTTAGTCAGTTTAACATAGTCGAAGCTTGAACTGAGTTCCAAGAAGAGAAATATAAATATACAAAACTGGCAAGATAGGTAAAAGACAAAAAACAGGGTTACTTACCCTGAGAGTTCGGGCTGTACTTTATGTATCAGCACTTCCCAAATATCAGCCCTTCGTGATCACAATTTTTGCCATGTGCATAATACAATGTGACTAATTAAATCAATTCATATTTCTTTAAATCAATTTTTTTTGCAGTACTGGGCCTCCCATTTGGGCCACCCCACAGCCCTAAATCAATTCATTTTCAACTTAAATTTAACTGAAAATAAAATTCATAGAATTTCTAAGTATAATTTCACTATGAAAACAAATTTAACATGCTATTTTTTTCTAACAGTTAATTTTCATTAACTAAATATACTACTATTAAAATTAAAAAACCAGTCTTGGCCAAGTGTTTGTGCTATAGTACAGATAAAATAATTTTTAAAGTTGCTAGGGTCACTGTAGGGTAATGATAGAAAAGATTAGGAATCAAACAATATTTAGCAGGCTAAAATAATTCTAGTCAAGCCTCTGGCTTGATTAGATTTGGAAGAGAAGAGAAGAAATCAGTCAGGCACCAGCAGCTCACGCCTGTAATCCTAGCTTCTTGGGAGGCTAAAAGCAGGAGGATCAAGGTTCAAAGCCAGAATGGACAAAAGTTTGTGAGACTCCCATCTCCAAAATAACCAGACCAAAACAGACTGGCTCGAGTTCCAAGAGGTGTGGCTCAAATGATAGAGCGCCTACTGTGTGAGTCCCTGCTCTGCAAGTGCAAATCCCTGAGTTCAAACCCCAGGCCCATCAAAAAACAAAAGAGAGAGAGAACATAAGATCTCCAAAAGGAAGAGGAGATTTGGGAACAGAACATGAGTCTATTCTAAAAGTTTCCAGGAGCTGGGCATGGTATGCATACCTGCAATCCCAACACTTGAGAGGCTGAGGCAATAGGATTGTGAGTTCAGGAGACAGTATTCCCTTAACCTGTTATCAATCAAGGGGTTCTTTAGAGTTAAGGAAATTTACAATTCCACCTGCCTTTAAATGACAAATTTAAAAACTAAGTGCCCATACATTTTTTTAAAAATCAAAAAAAAAAAGGAGGGAAGACTAGAAGCAAATATTCTAAGACATTAAAAGGAACATTTGTTTTTTTATCTTCTTTCTGCTTTGTGTGTGTGCATGTGTCTGTGTATCTGTGTGTGACTTATAAAATATCTTTTATAGATAATATTCCTATCTTAGAAAACTGAACTTAAAAGATGGAAGAGATTCTTTTTCTCCTGTTTTAGAAGTGGGGGTGAGATAGGACATTCCCAAAATTCTCATAAGCAAAATTAAAAGCTTCTTCTGTTTGCTACCATAACCCTTTATCAGACTAGCAGCAAGTTTTTATTACACAACATTAAGGTTTACAGTATTACATTTAGTCAAGCATTTTACAAGCTACTTAAGACCAGGAAGGACCATGACACTAGCACTGTCTGCCCACCTCCTAGCAGGCTATCTGGCACATAGCATCTATCTAGAACCACTGTTTTTTTCTTATTTTTTAACTCAAGGTCTTGCACTTGCTGAACAAGTGTTCTACTATTTGAGCCACACCTCCAGACCTTTTTGCTATTACTTGTTTTTCGGATAGAGTCACTCCCTTTTTGCCTGTGACGGGTCTCAGACCGTGATCCTACCTAACCCTCCCACATAGCTGGGATCAGAAACATGTGCCATTCATCCCTAGCTTGTTCTTTGAAATAGGGTCTCACTAACTTTTTGCCCCATCTGGCAAAAAGTATCAATCCTCCCATCTCCACCTCCCAAGCCACTGCACCCAGCTAGAACGACTTCTGGAAGAAATGCATACATTAAGCACCAGTCACTTTTCCTACCAACTAAATCTCATAGTGTACCCTTGAGACTCTTTCAGGATCTTCTTAGAAAACCATTGTTATGTTACAGGTTAAATCAAAGCTCAGATTAGACTAAGCAAATTATCTATTTTCCTACCTCATTCCCATTACACACTCATAAAGGAATATGATTCCTTCTTTCTGATGTGGTCGAAGGTGATGCACAAGATGAGGGTCTATCACTACATCCACAAGAGAGAAACAGTTCTTATTGAACATCCACTGATGATTCTTGTCTGGTCGTGGCATAACCAGTGAATCTTAAAAGCAAAACAAAAAAAAAAAAAGTAAAAGTATAACTATACATATAATTTCAGCTTGTCAGCAACTACATTATCTTGCTTTCACTACTCCTGAGACAGAACTGTTTGCCATGAGTTTTAGAAAAAAAAATATATATACATATACATATATATGAAACTTAGGCCAGGCATGGTAGTGCACACCTGCAAGTTCAGCACTCAGGAGGCAGAAGCAGGATGATAGCAAGTTCCAGGATGGTGTGAACTACATAGTGAAATCCTGTCTCCCAAAAAACCAGAGAAATTTGGTAACATTAATGCTAAACAATGATACAAAATTTAAAAAGAAACTCTCATTCCTCATTGTAAATTCCATGAAAAGAACTATAAAGAATCTTCCAAACTTCATATGCCCTAAAGTGCTTCAAAACCACTGAAACTCACTTTTATCTAAAAAAGGAATTCATTGAGTCATAACATTCAATAGAGTTCAGTATTCAGAGCAAAGAGAACTATTTCCACTTGAAAGCACAGGTGGGAAATTTGCCAGTATGCATTTGCCAATGTTCACATCTTCTCATTTTGAAAAGACTCCCCAAACTTAATATAAAGGCTGTCTTTATTTTCAGTCCTATACAGTCTAACAATAACCATTACTCTTATTAATCAGAACTGAGACAAAAATGACAAACTTTCCGTTGATTTAGCCATTACTATTTGCTTAAAATTAATTACTACACTCATGAATGTCAAATTCATGAACCTCTGCAAAGCAGCATGAAGTAACTATCAAATAATAATGTAATTCTTTAGAAATATGATAACATAATTTAAAAGATTTACTAAAGTATAACCAAAAAGACAAAATCAAATATAACTAGAAGGCAAGTTTTAATTGATAAATCTGAAGATAATAAACCTATGAAGAATATTTTGGGGGTATATTTGCATATTTACATGGTCAAAAACTGAACTCAATTCAAAAAGTAAACAAGAAGGAAAAAAGAGAAGGACAAGATGAGAAGCAGAGATTAAAAAAAAAAATAGGTTCCAGTAGCTTAAATAAATATCCATCAAGTAGAAATATGTAGTCATTTAAATAAGAGTTTGTTGTTTACCATTAGCAATTACACAAAGGCCAAGTTTCTGGAAATCTTCCTAAGTTTTTGAGTAACTGAAAAAAACAAAAAGTTTTATATTTGAAATCAATTTCTGTGAGGTAGGTATGAGGAAGTGAAAAAGAAAAATTTAGCCATTGGCCTTCCTATCCTGTAGCAAACCAAGAGTATACTCTTTGTGAATTTCTTACCAAAAGTTATTCCACTTAGTTTTTTCTTCCCTTTTAAAAAGGACAAGGAGACCTGTAATCCCAGCCTTACATGAGGTGGAGATGGGAGGATCCTGGTTCAAGGCCAACCAGGGAAGAAAATTAGAGAAACCCTATCTCAAAAAAATGAGCCAGGTTTGGAGATCTACATCTTGTAATTCCAGCAACTCAGGAGGCAGAGGTAGGAGGACCAAAGACCAAGGCCAACTCTCGGCAAAACAAATGGAACCCTACCTAAAAAATAAACTGAAGCAAAAAGGGCTGGGGAAATGGCTCAAATGGTACAGCAGCTGCCTAGCAAGTACAAGGCCCTGTGTTCAAGCCCCAAAATCACAAAAAAAAAAAAAAAAGAGGGAAGAGGGGCTAGTATATGAAAATCATATACTGCTCAAGCAAGAAGAACCACAGTATATCAACAACAACAAAAACTATCATCTAACAAAAGATCCATTTTTTTTTTTTTAAGACAGGGGCTCTACATTGCCCAGGCTATCCTGGAAATCACTATGTAGACCAGTTTGGCCTCAAACTAACAATCCTCCTGCCTCAGCCTCCAGAGTATAGGGATTACAGGTATGAACCACAATGCCCAGCAGACTCATCTTAAGGATAAGGAAAAAAAAAAAAAAGTCTAGAGAGAGGCATGACTCAAGTGATAGAATGCTTGCCTAGCAAGTAGTGAGATCAGTCCTCAGTATCACCAAAAATAAAAACAAAAACCTAAACAGCCACAATAATGGACCACTACTTTCAAATGTTACCTTCACAATGATGATGCACCATTTAATGTTAACAAAATCTCTCAGGCATTGATTTTATATGTAAAATCTAATTCTATCCTTGGTATGGTAAAGTAAATAAAAGAAAATAATCAACCATTTACATAAGCTACTTTCATATGTGCATATACAAATATACTCAGAAATACACACATAATACTTTTATACACATAAATATTTCTCACTCATTCGACAGATACTTACTGGACAGCAGACCGTGAGTGCTCAGGATGATAGAGTTCAGTGCTATACCTCGAATGCTTGATTCATTTTTTCCTCTAATGCCACCCAACTTCCACCAAAGAAATGCCTCCTTACAACAAATCTAAATTTTTCACTTCTCCACTTAAATTAAGTACATTATCTGCCTTTTTTGGCTTGGGAAAATTACTGCAACTTTACCTTGGTTTTTAGGCACTGTTTGCTTTTAGGGAGGTTTTTTTTGTTTTGTTTGTTTTGTTTTGTTTTGTTTTTCCACCAAATTATGGGCAGGGAAACACTCAGATCACAAAATAATATAAAACAATTGACAATAACTCAGGACTGACTGAGCTTTTCCACATCAACAGAGCTGCATAATAAGCAGGTGGGGATTTAAATTTTTTGTTTTTGAAATTTTTCATTTTTTTACTCTGCTTGGTCAAAACCATACTTAATAAATTAGGAGATAAGGTGAGTTTACCACACACACACACCACACACACACACACAGCACTCTAAATCTCACATTTTACACAAAACAGTAGTAAGATTAAAATGACTACCCGAAGAGGTCAAAGAACCAGTTAGTTCAGTGGCAAAACTATACTCCAACTCAGGTTTTTAAAGCACAGTGTTCTTTTCAGTTCCCCCAAAGGCCTCTAACTGTGTAAGAGGAAGACAAAGGGAAAGGAGAATAAATGGAAGGAGGGTTGTTAAAAGAGCTGGCAGGATAGACAAAGGTTTGAATGAAAGGAAGAATGTATGAGCATAAGCTTACTCGCCATATTTCAACTGAGTCTTCCGATGTAGAAGTAGAAATTTTTAATTGTGGGGTTTTCTCCCAATTATGATGTTGATTACTGAGTTTAGAAAAGTCAGCTCTCCTTTCTGGGCCTCACTTTTCTCACATGAGAAGGGAAAGGACTGATCTAAATGTCAAAGGTCCCTTTATCTCAAAACTTATGTTTCCATGGTAATTGGAACAGGGAAAAAATTGTAACTCCATATACTTTTTTTTTTTTTTTTTTGAGACAGGGTCTCACTATATAGCCCAGGCAGGCCTCAAGCTGGTGATATTTCTGCTTCAGTCTCTGAGATTATATATGGGTATAAATGAGTTCTGTGACAATAGTTTTACCTCTAGGCCCAATGCATAAAAGGCAGTCAAGAAATTCACAAGTCTGCCAGGAATAGTGGCTCATACCTGTATTCTTAGTTACTTAGGAAGCAGAGATGGGGAGGATTGCAATTCAAAGCCAACCTGGGTAAAAAATTCATGAGACTCCATCTCAGCTAATAAAAAGTTGGGTTTAATGATGCATGCCTGTCATCCCAGCTATGCCAGAAACCTGTGAGACCCTATTCAAAAAATAATAAAGCAAAAAGGATTGGGAGTGTGGTTTGATTGGTAGACTGCCTGTCTACAAGGCCCTGAGAAGGCCTTCCTGAGAAGGAAGAAAGAGAGGAAGAAGGGGGGAAGAGGGGAAGTGGGGGAGGGAAGGAGGAAGGAAGGAAGTTAATTCAAATTCCAGGTATGGTGGTACATGTCTGTAATACCAGAACTCAGAAGGCTGAGGCAGGAGAATCTCAAGCTCAAGACCAGCCTGGGCTACACAGCAAGTCCTATTCTGGAAAAAAGAGAGGGAGAAAGAAGAAGCGGGGAGGGAGGGAGGGAGGAGGGGAGCGACAGGGAGGGAAGGGGGAAAAGGGAAGGAGAGGGAGGGAAGGAAGGAAGGAGGAGGGGAGAGGGAGGGAGGGAGGAGGAGAAGAAAGAAAAAGAACGGCTGAGCAAATAATCAAATAAAAGAATAATCAGAAACAGGATAGGCTTCATTTTGTAATGTGATCTTTTTAAATAAAATTCACCAATGTAAAAATTGATTAAATTGAACTTTCACAGGTTAAACTTTTCTTTTTTGTTTTTTTTTTTTTTTGTTTTTTTTGATGGGACAGGGCTTCATGCCTGTAAAACAGGCACTCTATCACTTGAGTTACACCTCCAGTCCATTTTGCTCTGGTTATTTTGGAGATAGATAGGGTCTTGCAAACTATCTGTCTGGCCTGGCTTTGAACCTCAATCTTCCCCATCTCAGCCTCCCAAGCAGCTAGGACTACAGACATAAGCCCATTGCTCAGTTGGTAAAATTTTAATTCTTTGCATGACTTCTCACTGTTCAATATTTTAATACACTAATACATCTAATCAAAGCATATAATCTTCAAAAGTACAGTTATAATACTGATTCATAAATTTACTTATTTTTCTCTTGACTACAGAAGTCAGAATGCCAACAAAATTATGCTTATGCATATGAATGCCTCTATAATTTCTATAGTTTTCCTTCAGCACACATAGTATTTTGATTACTGTATTCTTAGGATTTTATATTGACATGTTAAATGATTCCCAAACTGTTGTTATTTTACTTTAACGTTATCTCTTATGTCAGATTGTTGTATCTGAAGAATATAACCTGCACTTGCAAATTTTAAAACAAAATTTAAACTTCAAATTCACATACCAACAATCTTTTGACAGTAAAAACAGAATATTCAAATTATTTCTAAAATCTTACTTGGTGTATATGGGTCATGGCGTGGTTTACAACTTTGGAAATCATTCTGTCTATTTTCCTTGGAATTCAGTTTACAAACACTTTTGAAAGGTTTAGAAAAACACTTCCTGGCAGCCTGAGAAAAACTTGGGGTAGCAGGACTTCCTCTTCCAAGCTGAAAACACCTTCCACTGTTGAAGTCATCTGAAGAGATTACGCCCATGATTTCTATTTCTTTTCCACCAATCATCAGTGTCTGGCCCTCTTCTATCTTTTCAAACTCTCTGAATTTATATCCAATGCCTTTGAGAAAAAAAACAAATTAATTGAACTGACATTCTAAGATTATGTAATGATATCATAGTCACTTTCCCATGACTCTACAAAATGAAAACTATACTTTGCATGCAATTACCCTTGTATAACTCATTAGCCTGAAAGGAAACATAATTTATCATTTAGATAACTAAAAAAACAGAAGAAATAACAATACTGCTATAAAAATTAGCCACATTTTAGAGAAAGCAAGACTTTTTATTGAAAATATAGCCTATTGTACTCTATGATTTTGCCTTGTTTGGACTGAAAATATTAAGAAAATAGTTTGAAAAGCTATATGGACTCCCTGTTTTCTGTGAAGAAACTAGAGAAACACTACTAGTGTTTCTACTTAGAAACAGCTAGGAATGGGAAGGACAATTACAATAAAAGTGACTGCTACCACTAGTATGTACTGTTCCACATGAGATATCCAAGTTAAAATACAGTTGTGAGAAGAGGCAACTGCTATTCCAAGTTCCTTAATCTAAAAGTGAAAAGTTTTATGATACTAAGTTTGTTTGAATTACTATTAATCCAATGGGCATTTATTAAGTGTTGCCATGTGTAAGGTTGATGAAATATAAATATGAGTAAATCCACATGGTCTACTTAAAAATGAGCTCATTAACCAGACAGGTATAACTGTAGAGACTCCTATGCTTGCTATTAAATGCATCAAACTATCAAATGCATAGTTATTGTACCATTATAAATAATAATAAAACTCACATTTTAGAAAATATGACCCTTTTCAAGTAATTGAAAATTGCTACAGTTTTCCCTATCAGAACTGGCCAGAAATTTGTAATATGTGCCAATTTATTTTTTCTATATATATTTGGTAGGGGCAGAAATGAGGTTTGAATTCAGGGACTCACACTTACAAGGCAGGGGCTCTACTACTTGAGCCATGCCTCCAGTCCTTTTTGTTTTAGTTATTTTTCAAATAGGGCCTCATGTTTTTGCCTGGGTAAAACTGGATCCCACACTCCTATTTATGCCTCCAGTGTAGCTGGGATGACAGGCACATGACACCATGACTAAAGATTATTGACTGAGATGGGGTCTCGTAACTTTTGCCCTGGTCTGGCCTCAAACCTCAATCGTCCCTCAATGCACCTCGATGGTGCATCCATAATCCAAAAATCTGAAATCTGAAAAACTCCCAAACTCAAAACCTTTTGAGTGCCCACATGATGTTCAAAAAGTTTCAGATTGTGGAGCATTTTGGATTTTGGATTTTCAGATTGGGATATACAACCAATAAAGTCTTATACAAGTATTACACCAGTATTCCAAAATACAAAAAAACTCCAAAATCTGAAACACTTGTGGGTTCTCAAGCATTTCTAGTAAGGGATACTCAATCTGTGATTAGCTGATGTTCTTAAACACCAAAGACCCATCACTCCATTCTGACTCAGTACTAGTCTTGACCTTATAGAATCCAGTTACTGTTCAATCTCACTTTCACAAGGAAATGGAAAACAAGAATAATCTTTCAATTTTGGGATATTTTAAAAACTCAAATTCCTGAATCTCTCATTTCATTTTGATCCACAGTGATGACACAAATAGCTCTAAATCGCCAGAAAACTTTCATTACTTTTGTACTTTGTTTCCCACACTTGTTTTTTTCTGGCTGTCACGCCATGATGGTCACTGAGCCTGAATGACTTATCACAATTAGTAATTTTAGCACTCTAGCTATTGGTTTTCTTAAAAGTCTCTATACCTACAACAAATTTAGATCTTATATCCAATTATTTCAAAGAAAATCTACTTGGTTTTAGTCAGTCACAGAATTAATTCCAAAATGATACATTTCTTATGTTACAATCTGGACCCAAGTCTTATGTTTAGATGTTTTCTTTTTTTTCTTTTTTTTTTTTTTTGGTGGGACTGGGGTTTGAACTCAGAACTTCACGCTTACAAAGTAGGCACTCTATGGCTTAAGCCACACCTCCAGTCCATTTTATTCTGGTTATTTTGCAAATGGAGTCTGGTTATTTTGCCTGGGCTGGCCCCCAATTGCAATCCTCCTGATTTCAGCTCTCAACAGGATTACAGGTATGCACCACCAGAACCCAGCTGTTTTCATTTGAAAACAAATATAATCCCCTTTATTGTTTTGTTTTGTTTTTCCCTTTATTGTTTAAACTGGTAGTTTTTGGTGCCTGGTGGGATCTTAGAATCATTTAGAAACTTAAATATACCTTTGCCCCTGTTCCTTTCCCTACTGGTCAAATAAATCAAAGTCTCAGAGGCCAGGACCCGGGCATCATCAGTTTTTAAAAGCACCTCAGGTGATTCTACTTGCATAGTAAGGGTAAAAACCCATCAGTTCAAGCATAATTTTCAAATTTTGTTTTGATATTTGCAACTGAAAGACCATTTTATTATAAACTACAAATACACAAGGCCATGTACACCATAGTTTATGCATAAGCTATTCCAGAGTCATTGAGAGAACTTTTACATCTCCAGCTGACTTGAAAATATAATTTCACTAAAGAAGAAATACCACTGCATGAACAAATTCCCTAAAAATGGAGCCCCAATCTATCTTAATCAACAACAAGAAGTGTGTTCTGCTTTTCTTTTTATATCCTCTAGTTGCTGAGCATAACATTGTATATATAGTAGTTGTTTCATATTTTAAAATAAATAAAACATTCTGCTGAAGATTGTTCAATTCAGTTTCGAAACTTACCACTCTGTCACTGCCCTTCACTCACATTTCTGGAACACTGAACTAGTCTGAATTCTCTCATACCTTTGCACCTTCACATATACTCTGTCCTCTTGCACACATCCCTTCCCCACCTTCACACATTACTTTAAACAGTAACTCCTATGAAGCTAACCCTAGCCTGTTAGGCTGACTTAAATGGTCCTTTGATGCTCCCATTGCACTCAGTAAAAATTTCATTGCCTTGTCCCCACTACACTATAAATTATGCTCATCTCTGAATGTTCTCCTAGTATAGTTGTTGGCATATAACAGTTCCTAAAATCTATAAACTATTTTAAGTGAATTAATGAACATATAGAACAGATTTTATAAATCAAAATTGAATAGAAGGGCCAGGTGTGGTGGCTCATACATGTAATCTTAGCTACTTCAGAGGCAGAGATCAGGAGGATCACAGTTTGAGGCCAGCCTGGGGAAAAAATTACTGAGACCCTATCTCAAAGAACAAGCTAGCATGGTGGCATATACCTGTGATCCCAGCTACACAGGAGACAGGTAGGTCCAGGATCCCAACTGAAAGCTGGCATTGGGCAAAAATGAGAGACTCTCTCAGAAACTAAAGCCAAAAAAGGTTGGGGGTGGGTGGACATGGCTTAAGTGGTAAAGCACCTGCTTAGCAAGCGTGAGGCCCTGAATTCAAATCCAAGAACCACCAAAAAAATTTTAAATGAACAACAGAATACAATGCAAAAAAGTTATAATGTTATGAGAGCTAGAATACTAGGCCAGACTGGACTACATAAAAGGGTCCTGTCTCAAAAAAGGAAAAGAGAAAAACCCTATAGTGTTAAGCATTCTGAATTTATAGGCTAACTCATATTAGTACAATTTCTGCTGGCAACATTTTGTAATAAAAATAACGGTAACCTCCAATTTAGATGTGTTAATCTAGCTTGGGTCTAATCATTATCTCCTTTCTCTGTTTTTCACAATTTTACTGAGTAGCATTAAAATTTACTATCATTCAACTTCTGATAGCAACATCTTTTTAAATTTTAATCACTTTGTATTCTGAAAAAACAAACCAAACACAAACCAAGGCAATTGCTTAATCTCAGAAGAGTGCCAAAATAAATAAATGTATATACCTGGCTAACCATTTTTGGATAAAATGAAACTATAGCACAGAATTTGCCTCAATGAGCTAACACAGGTCATAAGATTCTCAGACTTACTGTTATGAAACACCTTTACGTCATTTATATCATACATAGTTGAGGCATGAAAATCAATTAAAGAATATCTTACTCTGTCCCTTTATAAAGCACAATTATATTTCAATTGTGTAACCAATGATAAATACAAATTTTTGATGAAATCAAAAATATTAGGTAATATTACAATACCTCTTCCAATGTCTTTGCCTTCCAAATCCTTTAATGTAAATGACATTCCTTTAACAACAAGAATAGCATCACCTTCCCACTTTTTGTGCTTTTTCTTTGAAGCCTTACACCAAACAACACTGAAGTATTTTACTAGGCTATCAGGTTTCTCTTCTTGTTCCTTGGACTCTGTTACTTCTTTAGAGGCAGAATGAACTAGAATAAAAAAACAAATAAAAATAAAAACCACAATATTAAACATGATTTTAATGTCTAAGTATCAAGGTCATTCAAACAAAAGTAAACAGGCACAAGAAAGTCAGACTGTATTAAGTAGTACAAGGCTGGGCACCAGTGATTCATGTCTGTAATCCTATCTACTCAGGAGGCAGAGATCAGGAGGATTGTGGTTTGAAGCCAGCTCTGGGCAAATAGTTCATGAGACCAATCTCAAAAATACCCAATACAAAAAGGGCTGACAGAGTGGCTCAAATGGTAGAGTGCTTGCCTAGCAAGCATGAAGCCCTGAGTTCAAACCCCAGTACTGCCAAAAAGAAAAAAGCAAAAAGATCAGAAAGAAATAAAAAATAAAATATAAAATAAAAAATAAACAAAACTATTTGCATGACATGATTGTTTCCATAGAAATCCTTAGGAATACTAAAATTCTAATGATTAGCTCTAATAGAACAAATTTATCAGGGTCACAGGCTATAAGGTTCATAGGTAAAAATAAACTGTATTCTTAAATTCTTATAGATTAGAAAGAAATACTCAGAAAATGAAAGTTTTTAAATTCCATTCACAGAAGTTTCAAAAAAAAAATCATGCATGTGGCTAGCTATTATGGTAGTACATACCTGTAATTCCAGCACTGGGGAGATGGAAGCAGGAGGATCACAAGTTCAAGGCCAGCCTGGATTACACAGCAAGACCCTGTCTCAACACACACACACACACACACACACACACACACACACACACACACAAAACATGAGGGGGCGTGGCTCAAATGGTAGCATGCCTGCCTAGCAACTATCAGGTCCTGAGTTCAAACTCCAGTACTACCAAAAAAAAAAAAAAGTTTTGTGCTTTGCAGGGTGCGAGTGATTCAAAGCCAGCGAGGTCAGACAGTTCATGAGACCCTATCTCAAAAATATCCAACACAAAATAGGGTTGGTGGAGTAGCTCAAGTGGTAGCATGCCTGCCTAGCAATCTGAGGTCCTGAGTTCAAACCCCAGTACTTTCAAAAAAAAAAAAAACAAACAAACAAAGCAAAAAACAACAGATCTTTCATACCTGCATATCTGGAACTTAAGTATTTACAAAGTGAGTCCTGACTATCTATAACCAATAAATTGTGCTGTGCCCCAAGGGTTTTTTTCCTGAGGAAACAGATGAGTCATTTCCAGTATGACTACATACTGTCTAAAATGCATATCCAAATGGACATTTACCAATCCCTGAAAAGATTCACTGCTGTGACCCTGAGCAGTAACCAAGATGCAAGACTTAAGTACAGATCCCCAGTTTCCTGACCTTCCTTTCATACTAAGTGTGCAGATAAAAGATAATTTTCAGTTACTTCTTTGTATATAGCAGTTTATAAAAAATGGTACAGAATGTTTACTCTCCTCTTTTTATGTATTAGATTACATTTCTGCATAAAATTCTATGGGAAGGAAGTTTCATAATTTAATTAGTCCCTACTATTGGACATTTTTCAGTTGTCATTATTATTCCCAATCCCGTGCACAGTTAGTTCTATTTCCTCAAAATAAAGCCCTAGAAATGAAACTACTGCTCCAATGGATTTAAAGATTTTCACACTCCTGATTTAAACTGCCAAATGTGTCTCAAAAAAAACACTGTACTTACAAAATTCCCACAAACCAAGAATGCTCAGTTCACTGTACCTACATCAGCACAGTATATCATCTATATCCGTTTTTGATTTTTAGTTAATATTTTCATACAGCAAAACCAGCTTTTCCTCTTAATGCACAGTTCTATGAATCTTAGCACATGTTCCGATTGATGTAACCACCACCACAATCAGGATATAGAATTCTTTCACCCCCAAATACTCCCTCAACTACATACTCACCCACCCAGAGCCCCCAGAAACTACTGACCTGTTTTCCACAGATACAGTTTTGTCTGAGAATGTCAAATGAATGGGATCATATAGCATACAAGCTTTTAAGACTGGTTTCTCCCACTCAGAATAATGTCATCAAGATCCATCCCAATTTGTCACCTATAGCAACAGTTTCTTTATCATTGTATGGAATTGAAAAGACAGTTGAGCTGATTCCAGCTTTTGCCTGTCATAAATAAGCTTTTATGAACTTTTTTGTGAGTATTCATGTTTACCAGTTTAATTGGTAAAAATGGTATCTCTTTAACATAATTAGAAATTTATTATTGGTAATGAGACATTTTTAAATATCTCATTTTCTCTTTACTTGACTCCTCTAATTTCATATTATTCTTAAAGAATATACCTGAAGTTAAACGAGAGAGAGAGAAAAGATTTTCATTTCTTTGAACTATTTTATTTTTTGCAGTACTAGGGTTTGAACTCAGGACCTTGTATGTGTAGGAAGGCACTCTACCACTTGACCCATGCCACTAGCCCTTTTTGCTGTAGCTATTTCTCAGGTAAGGTCTGGAGTTTTTGCATGGGACCAACCACAGAACACCATCCTCTTAACTATGCCTCCCAGTAACTGGGATCACAGGCACATACCATGCTCAGCTTATTTGTTGACATGTGGTCTCGATAACTTTTTTTGCCCTGACTAGTCTTGAACTTTGACCCTCCTGATCTGCACCCCAAGGAGCTGAAATTAGAAGTGAGCCATCACACCCAGCCTTCTTTAAACTGAATTTTTAATCTGATCAGAAAATCCTCAACATTCATTCTGCCAACATATTGTCCAAACAGTATAGCTCTCAATCACTACATATTTCAAATTTTCACTTAAATGTTTTAAGTAGAAAATAGGCATAAAAGAGAAATTAGTAAGAAATTGTCAAAGTTAATGAAAAATTTAAAACTTAAATTTTAATTCATAAAATGCTACTAAAATATTTCTAAGTAGTATACAAGTCCATTTAATATCTTCCTTATAGGAGTTACTAAGATATTCAAGTAAGGAATGGTAATTTTAAGTTAAGTGCAGGTAATTTAAACACTCCTCCCTATTTTCTCACTGCCTCCTTCCTCCACAAAAAAAGAAAAATACATTTTGCCAACATGAAACATTTGTCAGGTTGAAATAAACCTACTCACTATCTAGAAATCCAAACACTGTACTATATATCAATTAATCAGCATGTTTTAATGAAAGAGTGAAACAAAACTTAAAAAAACAAAAATAAGAGAAAATGGGAAGTGAACAGGGGTAATTAGTGCATTGTTTTAGGCCAATATGAAGCTCTTAACTCTTTGATTTCCCACTTGAAAAACTCCATGTAAATCATGGAAAAGGATATTGCCCTTAAAGGATGGAAAGAAAAAAACAAACCAGAATAAGGACAATATGAAAATCAGTGCACAACCAGTCAGAACTTTACAGGCACAGCCTGTGCTTTCTGCACACCTAACTGGCATAGATTGTGCAAGCCCTGGAGAAAATGGATAAAAACCTCAACCACTTCACTTCTTTGCAGCGCACTCCAGATCCCTCCCTCCCTTCCTGTGGGAGCTTTCATTCTTTCCCTTAATAAACTTTCCTACCTCTAACAAGCACCCTTAACACCTACCTTCCCTCTTGTTAACCACCTAAGCCAGCAGGGTTGAGTGGAGGCTTTCTTTCATTCCTACACAAATCTCCCATAACATTTCAGGAAGAAACAAAATCACATGTATAGAGAAGCTTGGTTTATTTGGGTTTTCTTTGGGGAAGGGGTTTTTGTTTTTTGGAGAGGTGGGTTTGTTTATGGGGTTTGGGGTAGTACTGGTGTTTGAAATCAGGGTCTCTCACTTGCTAAGCTGGCACTTTACCACTTGAGCCACACCTCCAGCCCAAAAGAGTTTTAATACCAGAAAAAGTTGTATAGCCCCACTGTGTCTACTTCAAATAGTTAAACATCCATTACTGCCTCCATTTCTTCAAATTCCCATTCTTCAACTACTCTAATCTGACTTTCAGTATAGTCTTCCCCTAAAACTCCTTTGTTAAAGGCAGTTTTGTTACCTATCAATAAACCCACATTCTATTTTCTAGTTCTGAACAAAGTTCTCAAAAACACGAAACAGTGTTGATCATTTCCTCCTTGAAATACTGAACTGTTTTTGTAGCTTTTTAACACCCTTCAAATTTCCCTCCTCTTTGGCTGCTTCTTGGACATCTTTGCAGTTCAAACTTCTTTTTCCTACCTTTATTTATGGGAGCTCTTAAGAGCACTCTTCTATTCTCACTGTGTACATTAAATTAGTTAATTCATTCTTATGGCCTCGATACCATTCATATAGATTTTTTTTCCTCAAGACCACAGCTTCAGATCTTGCTACCTGTATATATAATTGTCTCCATAAATGTCCAGCAAACATCTCAAACTGGTCATGCTCACTTATCTTCTCTCCAAAAACTGCATCTCCTTAAAGATTTCCTGTGCCGTATCCTTGTTCAAGTTAGAAAATTGGAAATCATGCTTAACACTCTCCACTTTCTCAATCCCACAACCAATCAACCACATAATCCAGACACTTCTATCCCACACATGATTCTCAAAGCTATCACTGGTTGGAGTGGCTCAATCAAGTGGTAGAGCGCCTGCTTAGCAAGCTCAAGGCCCCTGACTTCGAGCCCCAGTACTAAAAAAAAAAAAAAAGTTATCTACTGTTTGCCTTCTCCATTGTCTCCCCTTACTTCCAACTACCTGACAAGGATTTCTAGCAGAATCTTCCCAACAGGTCTACTAAGCTACCTCTATTCTCTAAAAGTGCATGTCGCATTAAGTACAGCTACCTATTTTTCAATGTAAAACTGATCATGTATCCCTCTTGCTTACAATCCATTAATCTTGAAGAAAGCATGTTACTTACTGCCATAGAGCCTTTTACTTCTCCTCCTCCAACATTCTTAACTTTTACTCACCCCTGTATTGGTTAAATTTCCCTGATTGCCAAATTAGATCAAGTTTCTCTATTATCTCTTTTTTATCTCAACAATTAATTATCTGATAAATTATTTAATGTCAGCCT